AGAGTTGGGGTTGTTCAGCCTAGAGAAGAGAAGGCTTCAGGGAGACCTTATTGCAGCCTTTCAATACTTAAAGAGAACTTAAAAGAAAGATGGTAGCAATTTTTTTAGCAGGGCCTGTTGCAATAGGATAAGGGGTAATGGTTCTAAACTAAAAGAGGGTAGATTTAGACTAGATATAAGGAAGAAATTTTTTACGCTGAGGGTGGCACTCAACACTGGCACAGGTTGCCCAGAGAGGTGGTGGATGCCCCATCCCTGGCAACATTCAAGGTCAGGTTGGACGGGGCTCTGAGCAACCTGATCTAGTTGAAGATGTCCCTGCCCACGGCAGGGGGGTTGGACTAGATGACCTTTAGAGGTCCCTTCCAACCCAAACTATTCTATGATTCTATGATATGATTGCCTTTTCAGGTGATGCTACCTTTCCAGTCATTCTCAAATTGCTACAGAAATACTGAGCACATGTATCTCAGAACAGGATGTACAGTAGAAGCCTATTGCAGACATCCATAATCCTGTCAAACATACAGAAGGTTACGTGCTTAATAAAGATTTTGTAGTACTGTCTGAAGTTGCAAGACACCATCCTTCCTGAGCATTCTGTTGGCAAAGAAATACCTAAACAGGTGAAAAGCATTAACTGCTACAAGAACTGCCCTTATACCTCTGCTTTAGTAATTTGTATCTCTAGCAAAAGAAATATCTCTTGGGAGGAAATGTTACTCTAAAAGAGAATTCTTCAAATATGCTTGAACAAAGCAAGTACAGCACAGAATTTAAAGTTTTGTGACTACCAGAAGTTATTTCTCAGCTGTTCTTGTTCTTGGGTATTCTGTCTGCGCACACCTCTCTTCTTTATGCTCAGCCACTAGGTAGGCTCTGACAGTTTTTAGAAAAAGCAGAGCCAGCAGGAAACATAGGCAAAGCCACTCCCTGCATCAATTTTATGAATGGTCAGTTGCTCTCACAATACAGACTTTGAGCAGAACTTCAAGAAAGCATGTGGACAGAGTTTCTAAGAACATGTTAGTGAGAAGTAATCTTTACTCTTTATTTGACAGGTGTATACTGTGTATATATCCCCTTGTGAAAGTCGAGCTTGATATACAGTTCACAAGGAAAAAAAGCTTTTGAAAACTATATGCCAAATTTATCATTTCTTAAAATGAAAATTTTATGAAGTCGTGCTATTGCCCTAGTCCTAGTATGTAAGCCATAAGGCCTACATTTGCAAAAGCTACTTCAAAAATATCTACGATGCATATAGTTTTCAAAAGCATATAGTTTACTAAACTCTTCTGATTTCAACAGAAATTCTGTTAGATGTCTTTATACACCTTAAGGTAACTAAAACCATTTAGGAATGTGACGTTAAGTTCCTTAGTTATACCTGGTATCCTCAATACACAAACTAGCATGAGTCTTCAGTATACTGCAATGAATGTGGTGCCCTTTTGATTTCTGTGTACCTTAACCTTCTTTCCACTGCATTCTCTCCTTAAAAGGCAACTCTCCAATTTCAAACATTGCATTTACTCATTTTGAGATTCTGTTGTTGGAACAACTCAAATTCATTGAACTGACTGTTCAAAAGTTCCTTAAAAATGCATTTGCTTATACACTTCCTTGACAATGACTCACATGACTGAAAATGAGATTCAGGATAGGATGCCCATGTTCACCAAGCTGCTTTACAGAGATGCTAAGATGTTAGTTAGGGATGTTGATGATAAATCAGCTAATTATCTGAATAGTGTTCTAACAATGATATCTACTTCCTATAGTTGGTGCTTCTATGGTATGCTACTTACCTGCATTGCAATCCTTTTGAGTGCAGCATATTTTTGTACTTCAGCTATGTCTCCAACAGCCAAACCAATCTAAAAATACCAAGAAAGATTTCATTATCTATTTTTTCATAGTCTGTGATTTCAGTTGTATTTCTTATTCACATTTAAATCCAAAATTACTCTAAAGTTAGATTTATTTTGTTTCACTTGAATTTGGAAACATAGCCCTTTTGTGCATATTTGGAAAATCCGTATCAAGAAACATCGTAAGCTTTTTTAATGCCAACTATCTGTCTACCAGTAAGGCACTAAAGAGCTACTTCAAAGATTTGTCAAAAAAAACATCCCTTCTTTTTGATTCTTCATTACTGCTGTTGTTAGAAAACTTGTTGACCTCTTGATTGAATAGGATCATGGCAGCAATAACTTACTTTAAAAACCTGAATTGTTTGATTTTTATTGCTCAGCTCATATAAAAACCTGATTTCCTAGAAAAAAATTTGATGTTCAATGGAACATGGCTGAAGCTGTATTACATATTTTCCCCCTTTCTTACCATTACCAGGTTTTCTGACTCTTTTTGTTCAGGTCAGGCTCATTAGTTAGTTTTAACACTACTGTTGACTGCTGTTTTGTGTGCAATGAAGATCTGGGGTTTGGCTTTTTTAAAAAAAATATTGTTAGCACGGGGTTGAACCATTAAGACTATGTCTAGTCTAGGAGGCACGCATTTATCAAAGTACTTCTTAAAATCATTGTTCCCCAGTTTTCTTTATCAAGACCTCATAATAATACATTGCAGCTCCAATGCAAATTCCATCACAGTTACTACCTAAAGATATACAAGGTAACCCTGCAAGAGTTAACTGTGGGAAAATACTCAGAACAGTAAACTGGAGGGAAAACGAGTCCAGGGAAAGGCATCTTTTTAATACGTTACTGAAAATATCAATTTGTTAAATAATGAATGAATGTCACAAATCAGCACTAAAGTAATTCTATATGCTAAACCTGGGTGTAAACCTGTGCTTAACCTCTTTTGTATATTAATAACTAGTTTACTTACTAGCAAGTTCATAAGAAGGATTGGAATAAGCAAGGTAAATATAATGAGAACTGTGTAACTCAGGAATGGATATGGCAATTCACTGCTTAGTAGTGGATCAAGGAATGCATCATGGTAATTAATGTCTCCCAACATCATTGCAAATGTCTTCATTACAGAAAGCAGAGGTGTGCTATACGTTTGCTGCAAAAAGAAGAAACACCAAAATCAAGAAAAAAAACCCAAATCAAGTAAAAACCCGAACTGATGAAACTTGTAAACCTCTTGAGATTCTTTAGTCAAAAATAATATTTATAATGATAAAAATTAACTATGCCATTCAACTAACCTGTGAACCCAGAAGGACAAAGAAACTCAGTCCAAAGGCCAATATCAGGAAAAAGAAAACGACAGCAATCCGAATCAAAGTCCTCAAAATTTCCCAGAACATCACAACATAGATGCCATAGTTTTCAAATCTAGGCAATAAGTAAACAGAAAAGATGCAAAAGTAAATACTGAAGTTAGAGTCCTTTACAGTTACTAATGTAAGGCAATAAGTAATCCTGATTTTCATGTCTGAAAAGAGACATTCTGAGATGGTACGAACATGTTGTACTTTCACATCAAAAAGAACGCAAGTGGTCTTATTTACAGCAAGCCTAAACTACGTAATCTTATATTTTAATACACTAGAGCAGTACTTCTTCAAGATACTATTTTTCATGGACAACTTTTACTCTCTCCATAGCCACAGACAGTACAACGTTGTACAACTGCTGCACTTGGAATAATAACATTAGGGAATTTTCTCATTTTTTGCTGCTTTTCGAAGCAAAATAGCAACCAGAACAAAGGGCTACTGGCACCATGATCCATCTAGCAGGACATGCCTGATTTAAAAAGATTTTGCTTTTTATGACACTACAAAGTATGGAAAACAAGCAAACAAAAAGAAACATTGCGCAGGAAGAGAAGGGGAGTAGCACAATTTTAAGACACCTGTGTTTCCAACAACAGTCCATCATCTGGCAAGCTTCTCCCATTCTTGGCTTAAACGAAACTAGATCTCAGAACATGAGTTGTCATAAAGCAGTTTAAGTGACCTTTTCACCCAAACCTGAACTTGGGAATTTACATCCTCTGCCAGATTCAGGGACCAGATGAATGAATTTCTCAGTAGCAACTGAGAAAATCCCTCCACAGGATTCTCCCCCGGAAATATTATGTGGAAGGCTGAAAAGATCAAGCTGGAAGTAAAGCAAACCTGATCTTCTGTTTATTAGGCATTTATTAGGCAAAACTCCATTGAAGTCAATGGAGCTACAGGTTGCTTTGAGAAAAGATGGCCTGAATGAGTTAGAAAAATGACATGTAGAGTTCTACTGCTATACAAATGAAAAATATTCAGGCCAGGGAAGCATTTCATCTAGCAGAAGAAAGAAGGTTGGGCAATCATGAATTTACTTTTTACTGTTTAGGTTCAACCCCCATTTTGCTCACAGCACACAGCAGAGGGGACACGCCCATTCGTTAGTCATCTAAGGTCAGACACATGTAGGACAAGGTTTGCCAGCAAAGGCAGTACCATAAAGGTACTCTCTCTTTATGACATTAACTCTGTTTACAAACCTTGTCCTTAAACATCCCAACTACAGTAAAATGATCCTGAAATTAATCAGCAAATGCCATGTTTGTCTGCCAGACCTCATGGGGGTGATTACTGCATATATACAGTAAGAATATGAAGAGCATATATGCAGTGTTATCACATACTGTCATCCTTATTTTCTGAACAGCTCCAAATCACCACTTTTTTGCTGATCAGCCACACCTCATCTTTGTGCAAGGCAGTCCTGCTCAGTCACAAACATGTTTAATTTATTAGTCTTAAGCACTACACCCACACTATTTTTCCCTCCACCCAGCTCTCCTGTGGTCCATAACTCTTGGACACTGTTGTACCAGTGAGAGCATTAAGATCATTAATGGCAATAAATAGGCCTAATGTCAACTAAAGAAATAATTTCATCCATTATAATTCTTTTTCTTGGTGTAGAAAAGTGGGGTGTGCCATTTAATCTGTAAAATGATAAAAGAATTTACCTTCTCCCAGGTATTACTTATAAAAACAGACATCCTTTTGCCTCTTGTAATTCATATCCTTTTTTTTTTAAGGGAAAGTCTATACAGTATAATGAAACGTTTTTAAAAAGACATAGGCAGTGGCTTTGTTTACTTAACATTAAAATAAATCTTGTTATTTCTTTAGTTGCCATAACACATGCTGTGATTCTCTACATGAAAAACACTGAAAACTACTTTACAGTTCATAAGGTTAAAAAGTTCCTATGGTCCTAATCTGGAAACTTATATAGCTTGAAAAAAAAAAAAAAATAGGGCTATCACACTTGATCAGTCACGGTTTAGGATATATAAAATATCTGAAAATATTAAAAGTATTTTATTGTAAAGCATGTAAGTAACTTTTACCGTTGAAGGTAAAGCAAGAAGTTCATCCAAGACAAGTATACAGCAATTGCTCCACATTCCCACTGCAAATGAGCTGGTGTATTAATAAATAAAGAAGACACAAAAATTATGCTTGTAGTATAAATGGTCCAGTCCAGTAAATTGGAGTAATCCAACAAGTATTTCAATTTCTAGGATTTAAGAGAGACAGATACATATTTACAAGTCATGCATCATTAAAGGACTGAATTCAATACACTATTGAAATCCTCTTCTCACTTTTAATCTTATATAAATTCTTATTTCCCTTTTAATTAGGGAAAAATCAGATTTATTTCAATATCACACAAACTGCTATGCAAGCACACTGTCTGATTAACGTTATTTCTCTATGTATTTACCTGCTGAATGAGCTGAAATATTTCTTTGCAGATTCCCAGTAAACTCATAATTAAAACTAAACACATACACACCCTTGTGAAGTATGAGTTCTGAAACAAAAATCAGAGCACAAAACAAATTAGAAATTATTAAATGAACATTTATTTCAGCTCTACCTACCACATATACATTATATTGCCAAGTTAAGAAACTTTGTTAGCTTGCCTCAAATAAACTTATTACTATCTAAATTCTGTTTTACTAATATTTATTGTGGAATCCATGTCACGTATATTGTGTTTAAAAAACTCAAATCAAGTATGAAAGTTTGAGCATTCCCATGATAAATAGTTACTGTGCGACTTCCTTATTACTACTATTTGAGTATGGGAACTGAAATTGCAGTATTTATGCCACATTATCAGTCTGTTTTGCCACTGGATAAACATAGAGACCAATTCTGTTGTCCATAACTTCACTATCATATTGCAGTATCCAGAATGGCAATAGAAGTCTTTGGACAAATTGGAAGTCCTGGCATCCTTATGTGGCTGCTCCCTTTGATGTCTCCCTTTACAAGCAGTACAGGCAAAGACAACTCTGTTGTGAAAAGCCTTCTATTGGCATAGATAGCAACAGTGAATTTCATCTTTCAACTTGTAGAGCTAATTCCCCACCTGAGGGATTCATTAACTCACAGGCAGACCACAAATTCAGGGCACTCACTTTTCGGTGGTGCTGCAATACACATCAGCATCTGCCCCACTGTGATGTCCTTCTTTAACCTGGGTTAAGAGTATAGCACCATGTTCCCTAACACCGTGCTCTGTAACACTGTGTTCTGCAACCCTACAGAGCTGGCATTCCCCGCTCCATTCCCATTACTGGGTCATTAGGACACTGTCTCCTCCAGTGCATGACATTTCATATGTACTGCTGTTGCTCTAGTCTCTCAGGCAGCACCTTCACGGCTCCTGTTCAGTGCACTGCTTTCTCCACCAGCTGGCATCATTCCTCATTGAAGGACAGGACTCCCTCTTCCAACTATGCTTCTTCCACCCAGTCTCTGATGATTCAAGGACCTGGGTCAGTCTGAGTCATTCCTCTGTCTGCCGTATGCAGCTCCTGTCATTCTCCTGTCTTCCACCAGGAAGATTAGTTAGTGGAGCATGAATTCTTCCAGTTCTTCTAGTTCTGGCTTCTGAATCTTCGAGAATCCCACACGTACTGGGCTGGGCATGTGATTCTCCAGACTTTTTCATATATCAGGATATCCTCATGAACCTTTTATATCCCTTGACTTTATTTTATTTCATATTTCTACTAGCATATCCTTTTTGAGTTCCTATTTCAGTTTTATGTCTTTTCTCTCCCAAAAGAACTGTAAAATATTTTCTTGCCTTTTTTTTTCCTTGCCAAAATCCTTGGTTTTAGTGATAAAATCACTTATTTGAAATGGATCATTTGAAAAGTTCACCACACAACAAAAACTTGTCTCCGTTAACACCAGCATGTTACCGTTTCAGGGCTAATGACACAGGTGTCTCTTCTCAGAATATATGACTTCATGTCGTGCAGACAGAGCTCTGTGACGCTCCTGCCCTTCACATGGACGCAGGAATGTAACACTATGCATGAGTTGTACTCACAGGTTCAATAAACAGCAGAACTTGCAGTTACTTCTCCGGAAGTCTAGTACAATGTTCAGCTTAGGGACAACACAGCCTTCTTTAAACGACAGCATACTGCTTAGTTTTAACTGCAGGAAGGAAACACTTACAAAAAGGACATCAACCAGTCGCACCAATGTCTTTCTTTTCTAAAGCCTCATTCTCCTGTGGCGGTGGACCTGGCAAGTCTAACTTCTTCGGTTCACTATGGTGTCCTAATTATTCCAGTTCCAGCTTCTGAAAAAAAGTTTGAGCTTTGTCTCTTAACAACCCCAAAGTATCTATGGAGGACGGGCTTATCCTGAGACAGGGTTCATCCTTGCTTGTTTTCCTTATGGCCCCAACTAAAGCATCATTTCCATCCAATACATGTCATGAACAAGATCAATATTCATAAATTACTAGAGTAGCCCCACAGCTATCACAGCTGTGACTGAGACACAAATATTCAAAAGTCATGATGCATATGTACTTTGCTACCTAATCAAGTTTTTCATTTTGAGATAACATAATTCCAAAATGGGGGTATATCATTCACATTTTAGCACAACACAATTTTTTCTATTTTTTTTTCTTTTAAGTTTATTAACAGGGATTGTAGGAAACATCCAATACACTTAAAAACCTTTCACAGAGTTTTCCATCCATATATGACTGAATTCTGCTGTTATATTTTTCACTGTTACGTTGTACATGAGGTACCTATATACAGTCTGGCAAAAAATGTTCTGTCTTAGTCTCATAATTTATGAAGAAACACTGGGCCTGCAAGGGAAAGTAAAACATATGGGCAAAGAAAGATGTATTTGAATACCCAAAAGCACTTTATTATTGACGAATCTTTCAATGTCAAATTTTAAAAGTGCAATATCCAGTTATTTTGGTTGAAAATTAAAAGGACATAGAAAGCTAAAGAATCCACTGTTTTCTGTCTTTTCATAATTAAATACACATTGATCTTTTTTCTTCAACATTAAAGAAATATTTACTTCAGGGGAGAAATTGAAGTAACTGTGTACCAGATGTAAGATTTTCAGAAAAGATGAAAAATAAGAAATGAGAACTGAAAATTATCTACAGAAGTGCGACTGAATGTTTAAAAATATACACTTCAGTTCTGTTCCTTAGAGTTGCTAAATCATAAATAATTCTAGAAATTATTTAAATAATCATACCTTTTTGCTATAAAAATCCTAAACATATTGTAACTAGTAAGAAAAGTCAGTACCTCATATTCTAATGGCCTTGCTTCATAGATCTCTGTTCCATTCAAAGGTCTTCCTGGCTGTATGTGAGTGACCAGAAGAGTCAGTGGGATGAGACCGAGAGAATATATGCCTAAATTCATCAGATGTGCTCGAAATCCATAGGCCATCCTTGAAAGTAACAATGTTAAAGTTACAACACTTCACAAATTTAGAAGAGCATGCATTCAAATATAACAGCCAACAATGTTTTCAAGATGAGGAAATAAACATTTCTTAAAATGTCCTTTTGTGATGAATGTGTTCATCGAGCTTTATGTGGACAAAAGTGTATTGGCCATTCTGAAATACTGTTCCATTTCTTTTTAACTCGGCAATCCTATTATATATTTTTGCAATAAAGCAGAAACAAAGATAGTGTTTGTCTTTGCTGTAAATATAAAAGAATTATTACTAAATGCTAAGCTACATTTTATATGATAATCATCAGCATATTCTAAATATGCTTATGAGAGGTTATATGGAAAAGACATTTGCTTCAGTCAACACTACAAATATGTACATCTTAGTAAACAACTCTCAGGCACAATAGCCTTCATCCTGACAGGCAATATTATATTTTATGTACATTAAAATACACCTACCATTTCATAAGCAAATATTCTTTACACACAGGATGACTGAGTAGCTCCATGCGATTGTGGCGTACCATGGCCTACAAAACAAGAAAGCAGAATGATCAAATTGATCTCATCTAGCTAAGTAAAGTACTTACAAACTTGCTAGGCCACCTTCTTTACTTGAATATTAGCCTAATGAAAAGTAAAATGTCTGTAAGATATTGCAAAGTTCTTTTATTTATGCACTCTGGCTCAAAGCTATTACTATCTTGCCTTCTCTGCCTACTGAGGCATCCAGCTGCTCTCCTGCTGCTCTGTTAGTCTATTTCAAGCTTTAAAAAATTGTACAGACTATTGCCAACTATACCTGTGAGATGACCAAGGTTTTCTAGTTACATTTAATGAGAAAATACTTATTTATTTATTAATAGACAGTATACCAAGTCTAATTGCCAACAGGAAGCCCAAAAAGTAATCAAATTAAGCCAGAAAGTTTGTTCTGTAAATATTTTCTGACAAAGAATGAGAGAACAGACTGGCAATGTGAAAGAACAGCAAAATTTGTTTTAGGCACAGAAAGTATTTTGCAATTAACATATGAAAAAATAAGTTTTGTCAGTTTTTTCAATGCCTTACATTCCAGTGCATGGTCACTACAATGACTGGAGTATGGTTTTCTTTGATGTATTACCTGCACGTATAGCATGTTCTCTTGAAACATTCATAGTTGTTTAAATAAACTAAGAATTTTTACCTAAACCTAAAAGAAATGTTATTTCTTACTTAGACTATAAGAACTTTGACCCATACTTCATTCCAATATACTTCAAATATACAGAGTTATGGGCTTTGTAGAAGAAATATGAGGAAAAAGTCAAACGTCTTGATGTTATCTAAAGCAAGACAGCATGGAACAATGTCAGTGTAAAATATAGAACTTACATTTAAAGTGGTAAGTGGTTCATAGAAAATGTCTTCACCATCCTTCAGTTTCTTGTTAAGCGTCAGGGGACACTGAAGATATCTGAAGTTATATTCAATCTGAATAATAAACGTACAGCAGCATTTAAATGTGATGAAACTGATAATCTAAGACTGAGGTAATGTGCTTAATTTAAAAAAGGTTATCCGTTAGAGAAAAAAAAGGCATATTGTGTCAAAGTAATTAGAACACTGATGTATACTGATAGTTTGCCAGTGAACATATGCCATCAAGATACACATCTGTGACTGTAAGATGATTAAACAAACAGTCATTTTGAATTGTAAAATAAAAAGCACACATTTCTTCTTAAAATATTACAGTTTAAAAAGGTCATTCTCATAACTGTAATTTGTTTTAATGTTGACTTTGAAGAAAAGCTTGTATTTAAAATTATATGGCTTTGATAACACAATATAAAGAAAATGTACAATAGCAGAAAATTTGCAAGTTTTCTGTTAATGATGTAGACACAATCCAATGTCATAATTGATAAGGTGGTTTTCAATATGGTTTCAAAGGTAACATAACTGTAAAACATTCATGCTTCCTTAGCATTGTGAAAGCAACCTACTACTTAAGACTTTGGACAAGAGTTTACAAAAAAGAAACACGTTGGACTCTGAATTATTGATGACAACTGTACTACTTATGATAGGCATGCTTTTGATACATATAAATAGATACTATGTCTTCTATCACTGTTATTTTGAAATATCCATAACCTCAGATACCCAGCTTGATTGCAAGAATTAACACGGCAAAGATAAAGTCTATAGATTGCTCAAGTTTAATGTTATACTTGTTAAAATGCATAAGCATGAAGATTACAGAAACTGAACTTCAAAGCTGCTTACAGACCAAAGGATAAAATAAGATCAGTCACCTGTGTTTTCTGTTAAGATCTGATATTCATCTACAAGTGTATCTTATCCATATGAACTTGACATATACATTAAAGTATACGTCTTGTGTACTTCCCAAACTTTCAAGTCAAAAATGTGTTCATTTCAGGGTCACAGAGGCAATAAAGAGAATTAAATAAGTGGCTTCGCTGACAAAAAAAAAAGACTGATAGCTGAAGATTGGTAGTATCTGATGAAGTAATTTTTAAAAGTCATCCTAATGCTGAGGAGTTTTTTGCCAAATATATATTGAAAGTGCAGATTCAGATATAGTTATGGGTGAATAACTACTGAATTATTCATAAATCAAGTTAAAATACTGGCTGATTTCAATTTACCAACTATAGAACTATAATAGCAACTATAGAAAATATTTAAGAGGTATTAAAATTTAGTCCAGTATTAGTAGCTAAAAGCCAAGCTGATGATTTTCTAACTTAATTATTATCCAAATAATGTACTGCTGCTAACATATAGCCAGCCACGTTGTAACATATTCCATCCTAAGACCGTAAAATGTAGTCTTCATAAATTTTTTCATTCACTTACATAGAAGTCTCGACTTGTCTTTTCCTCTGAAGACTCAATTATGCAGTTGTCCAAAACCAGCTTTGCAGATGAACAGAAAAGTGAATTAAGGTGATATAGATAACATTCATCAGAAAGAATGTAATGTTTGTACCTGAAGAAAATGACCTTCAGATACAGCAGTCATCTAATGGAAGTGATGATTCAGTCAGATTTTATGGTGTATGTTTTGAAGACATAAAACTCCAGAGTTCACATGTAGGAGTTAAACAATGAAACTATGCAGGTTATGAGGCTACATGTTAGTTTACAAGTATAAAATGTGAAGTGTTTATGAATATATACATACCAAGTCACTTGCTATTGTAATAAAAAAACATTTCTGTAGCGTCATTTAAGTTAACTCAGAAGGAGAAAATATCTCAAATGGTTTTGAACCCAATTCTCTTCCCACGGTCAACACTTTTATACTCCTTTTTTATACTCTATACTTTTATACTTTTATAACTCCATTGACCTCAGGAAGCTAAGAACTTTTTCTAATACTAAAGAAACTAAACTGGCCAAACTGAAACTATCACTAAAATACAATTAAATCAATTTGTGAATTTATATTTTTTCCATTTTATAATAATACGTATTAGTGAGGACAGCATTAGAAAAACAATGGCAAAAGATGCAACATAACTAAGGTTTTTTTGTGCAGTCATTTCTTTAATATGTGCAGAAAACTCACTTTAAATGAATCAGGAAGATACTCAACCATTTCCAGCAAAGGACACTTATTGGCACTAGAATAGTGAGAGAATGTCACAACAGCCTCTTCCCATCTGCAAAAACGAGTTGAGATAATGGAAAATGAATTTGTTGCTTCTCTTTTAAAGTAACTACTTTTAGATTATTTGAGTTTTATTTAAGATATTATCTTGCAAATCACAATATATAACAAGTTTACATACCATCAATTAGAAAATCAGCTGTTTGGGGAGTAATTGAGTAACATTCTGGATGCTTCTCTAAGAATGATTCATATTTAATTCTGTTATCAGTTAAACAGAGATATTTCAACTATGCTAAGACCTTCTAAAAAATATGAAACGAACTAAAGCTGGAATCTTGGGTTACAAGATTAGGTGAGTAATAATAAATACAGTAAAATACTGGCAGTATTCCTGCAACTCTTACCAAGAGATGTGATCATTAGGCAATGGTGCAACACTTTTATTCCTGAAGTGGGGCTTCACTATATTGTAATATAAAATATTCTAAACTGCAGTTGAACTGTCACATTTTTAAATATTTGCAACATTTAAAACAACAGTTTTAAATTAAGTCTCTTGAATGGTATCAGCTGTACTCACAGTTTGATTAAAATTCTGTAGGTATTGAAGCATTATGTGAAAGGCCAAAATTACGTATGTAAGAAGAGGAAAGACATAGGAAGGATTACTTATTTCTAATAGCTTCTACGTGGTTTTTTTTAACAGAATCTGAATACTCAATCTAATATGGAAAACAACATGCCACATGTCTGATGTCCATTACAATTATGCCATTTTTTATTTACTCTCACTAGAACACAACGTAATCTCTGGAATTTTAAAGTATGTACTCAGTCTTACTTATTAAACTACAGGTTTTCAGAACTTAATCTCAGTTAAAAAACAAAACAAAATACAACAGAAAATAAATTCAAAAAGCATTTTCTGTATACCTTACCTTTTGTGCAAAATGACAGCAGACACTACATCTTTTCTCCTATTGTGTATTGCTTCATGGAAAAAAGAAGCTACTGCTTTGTTGAACAGAATTTTCGCACCATAGTCAAGAAGTAACCTTACTGCTTTTGCATGTCCTTCTCTTGCAGCCAGGTGCAAAGCTGTGTTCTGTGCAGAAAAGTAGTACAGCGATCCATCCATGAGAATAATTTAAAAAAAAAAAAAGTATATATTTCAGTCCTTTCCGACACTGAAAAGCCACATGCTATTCTCAGTTGAAAGTCCTGAATACTTTTACGAGCAACATTAAAAAGTAGAATATTGTCACAGAGATTCTGATAGAGATTATAGACAAGTTCTTCATTCTATGTCTACAGATACAGTAATGCTAAATCTGAGGAGGAAACTCAGCTGTAGGTAAGAAAGGCCAATCATTAATATCTTTTAGTTTTGTAACTAACAAAGTGCAAGTCACAAATAGGTAAAAATGATGGCATCTACAGATACAGAACACCTGCATTTGATAATCAGGAAGAGAAGCATCCAATTATATCCAGATGTGCTCATATGAACAAATCTGCAAGAATATCTGCAGGCACAGTTTTATAAGAGGAACGTGATTTTCTTTGGTATTTTCATAAAAGTAAGGCAATGAGTGGTTTAGGAATCAAGTCACACTGAAACTGACTTTTGAAAGGCTTCCCAACTCACCCAGATTTTTCTGAGGGAAATTAAGAACTAAGCATTGGCTTCTCATTAATTTCTAGGCAAGATTTGTTCCTAACCTAAAAATTCTAAATGTTTTCAGCACCAGTTCTCAGAGAAATTAGCAACACCTTCTGTGTTGGAAACTGAATAGTTCTTTAAAATGAGCACCCTGTTTTCTGGTGGGGAACTGTTATGCAGGTTCATACAAGAGGTCTCCAATCCAGGAAATGGATTCTGTCTTGACCCAACAGATACTGCATTTGTCCAAACTTCAGAGCAAGATAGGAGCTGTATCTGTTGGACATCACTGTGCAGAACAGATGGATTTCAATATGTTAATGAGCTATAGTTGATACTGGATTTTTTTTAACCTGTATATGTTCTTTAAATTTAAATTACCAATGTTTGTACTACATTGTTAAAATACTCTTGCATTGTAAAGAGGGGAAGAGGGACATGTCTAACATACTCAGTATTTTATATTTTCTATTAGGCTATTTACATTTTTTTTGTCTCCCACTTATAAGAACTGGATAACAATTTCAGCAATCATATTAATCTAAGCAATAAACTTTAACAGTGGTGAAATATAAAGACTTTAAATCTGCCACAGGAAATGGAATATTACACGTAATGCACAGTGGAAAACTACTAATAGCATACCACTGATGTTTGGTCTAGAAGCAATAGCAGACAAGAAACAAATAATGCTATGTGAACACGTACCCCTTCTTCATCCACTCTGTCAGTACACTTCACATTAGTATCCAAAATGATCTGCATTGTGCGAGTATATCCTCCGAAGGCAGCATGGTGCAGGGCTGTCCAGCCTTTATAATCGCTTACATGTAGTGGTATAAAATTAGTACTCATAAATGGAAAACTTTTTATAAATGTTAAGTAAATGTAACTGCCTCCTCCTTTGACTCAAACCTCTTTTCTTTGGCATGACTACTGCAGACATGTCCATGCTTTCTGTCAACTATTATGTGATTATCAATGCATCATTCGGAAGTAAAAGTTTCAACTCAATAATAGCATTTGGGTCTCCTTCTCTCTTTTTTTCTCTTTCTCTATTTCTGTATATATCTGGATTGCACCCATTTTCTTACACGCCCCTTGAAAATGACACAAATGCTTGCAATATTCTGTTACTAATACTTGGCAACAGATGTGGCATAGATCATGGCCATATTACAGAATTTTGCATTTAAAGATAGTGAATATACAAAACATTATAAGCACACAAATCTATTCCTATTAATATTACTTCATCTTAGTATAACGAAACTCATTAAGCCTTTTATCACATAGAAACTACCAGGACATTTCTTTTAAAAATGCCAGATTTAAGACTAAATTAAGCCTAAATACACACACACATGTGTACACATAGATATACATACATACATATGTATACTTACATATGTGTATGTATATTATCATCTCTATCCTTGCTAGGTGTACTAGTCCAGCTAAGGACACTGGAAATAAAGGGTTTGACAGTAGTTCATTTAGTGGGTCCTCTGCGGTCACAAATAATGAGCGTATGACAGGTCTGTTTGTTTGCTAAAGGATCTCCTCAGAACACTTAGGCCCCTAGCTCCAAGGTCTAACTGCAGTGGACTTGGAAGCACAGGACTTGAAAGTTAAAGCTCTAGACTGTACCTTGGAAACAGGACTCAAAACTTTTGGTAGCTTTGGCTCCAGGCTTTTACAGGTGTGAGCCTGGAAGCTTTTGTGGAGCTGCCAATGATCTGAGGATCTTTGTCCTGAAATCAGGACTTAGAGTGAAAGGCAAGTTGCCTATGAACCACCAATCCTAAGAAGCCCTGCTCAAGCCTGTAAGTGAAGCTGATGTGATTATATTTCCAAAACAATATTTTTCCCATCAAAAGGTTCAATATTCTTCTCTCAGTTGGATTTAGAGAAACCTCAGTTTCCCCAGCATTAGAAGCCTTGCTTTACAGCTAGCCATGATTCTATGTGTCAGGCTGAAGCAATGCACAATCAACTTATTTTTACAAATATTTTATAAATATGCTCTTATATTGTATATTTATATTTGTATATATTAACATATTTAATATTTTCATATATTGTATTTATATTTATATTGTATTAACTTCCCAGCAGATGGACATAAAATGTAGGGTGATAGTTCTTTTTTGCCTTAATGAATGGAAATCTGTAACCTTACCAGAGAAAAAGGGCGCCTCTCTTCAGAAGAAACTGAACTACCTTCTCATGACCATTCTGGGCTGCCAAATGAAGGGGAGTCATTCCCTTCTTATCACCTTCATTCAAAAGTCTTGTGTCTTTCATATCTCTTATAAGTCGTTGACACGTATTGATGCGCCCATAGCTTTGAAAGATAAACATAGAACTCAATGTCAAACAAATACAGATGGAAAAAATGGCATTGATTCCATTGCCTAGACTGCACTACTAACCTGGCAGCAAAGTGTAATGGTGACTTCTTGTCCCTGCTCTTAGAGTAGATGGAAACGTTGAGGCTGAGTAAATTATTTACAGAGAGGGCCACACCTTGTCTGCATGCATAATGCAATGGAGTGCATCCTTCATTATCTTCATCCACTACAAGATTTTTAATATGTTCCATCTGTTACCCCCCCAAAAAAACCCCCAAAAGCACAGCATTACATTTATATCACTAATGCTCCACAGCTTCTAATAGCTTGTAACAATAGCATTAATACTTTAAAGCAGATCTAAAAATAAGAAACAAACTTTAGGAAAAGTAAATTTAGCAACAATGAGCATTTAATGTCTGCTGATTTGTGGGTCACCATTTTTTCAAACAACTACTCTTTGAAGAACACAGCAGTTTGCCACTCTGCACCCTTACTGCAATCCATCCACAGTACCAGTATAATACAGGAGATTCTTCTTTGCTGCCATTCAACCATAATACTCATTGCTGTCAGCAGAAGGCTTGTACAGAACTTAAGGGTAGTCTGTAGTCTGTATTCAGTAGCAAAACTTCTGGCTGTCAAGAACCATCAGTTCACTGGTTTACAGTGTAATTTTATTTCCCTCATTTCTCTTTCTCATCTTCACTTCCCTGTTTTTCCTCCATACTTTGTCTAACACTATCCTATGTATAGCCTTTCTTAAAGCAACTAAAAATCTCCTCCCCCGGCCTGCTCCACTCCTTTGTCTGAATTATTAGTATGATCAATAATTAGTAAGTCAATACAGACAACTGAGAGTTATCGCTGGTTTAAAACTGATTCTCTACGTCTGCTGAAAAGGGAGGTTCAATCCATTCTGCATCACTAATCAAAGTTGTTTACAGATTTCAACAGATGTTGTAAGATCAGTTATACTTGATTCACATTTACAAGGTTGTTTCTGGAGCTCTGGAGGCTAGCAAATTTAACTCTTTCAAGCGAGCCTGGGCTTTAGCAATATGAGTGCTTCACCTCAGCATAGCCAAATACAAACCCATGTTTGAAATCCTTTTTAAAACTAAATCCAAGGCTTCATTACAGTCCAGTCCACAGAAAGCTCCTGCAGAATATGCTGTAAGCTATTTAAGCCCTAGAGCTTGACTGAATATGAGCACGTCCCCTAGCTTTACTGCATGCAAGCTGGGAAAACAGAAGTGAAAAGTTCTATATTTTATTGCCTACCTCTTGAGCTATTCAATCCCCCAACAGCAAAATAATTTATGGGATTATGTTATTCCTTTGCCTGGCAATAAGAAAACTGTATTATTGGCTTTGAAATGTTTTCATGAGAGGTATGTACCTCTTCAAACTATTTTCTGTGACACTGGGCAACTTAACAAGTACCACAAACTTTTACAAACATTCCAAAATAAAATGGTAGCTGCTTTTTTCTTTACATTTTCTAGTAAGAGTAACAGAAAGACATAAATTGATGCTTACTGTACCTGCAGAAATTTCTCATTCAGATGCTGCAATCCTCCAGGCTGCAATACCGTCAAATGCAAGAAATTCCGACCAAGATGATCTTTTAATGATACATTTGCTCCTAGATAAATACGGAAATAAATACCAGCAACTTCAAAACTGCTGGCCCCTGGCACTAACTGATGAAGTTTAAGACAAAGGAACAAACATTGAACAAATGTGTTCATAAATCTATAAAATAACAAATATTATTCCAAGTCAACATTATAACATATAATTTTACTTACAAAAAACCTCCTACTGACACTCAGATTTCAACGTTATCTCATGTGTGTATGCATCTTGTATTTCACTGCAGCACTAAGATTTATGTGGGGCCCTCATATTCAGAGATACTGAGCACCCGCAAACCAAGAGGTAATTTAAAGATGCAGATGATCACCTCTTCTAAAGTTGTAATCTTGTTACAGCTTCAAAACTTATTACAGGGCTTATTAACAAAATCAGTTATATTACTATTAACAAGGGGAAATACAGTGACAATAATTAGCTTGCACCAAAAGTGTACCAATTGAAAGATATAGCTCAAACATTTTCAAGGTGACTGTGATTATATAAAATCACAGGTAACACTTGAAATATGGGCTTTAACATTTAAAGATTGATTGCTGGTACGAAACACGACTCTGTGTAAGTGATGTATTTATTCCACAGTTCTGCTTACTTTGTGAACTGCGAAGGAATGCAGGGATGGAGTGCCAATGCCAACTCTACCTTGAGAAGCATGACACATGGCATACTCATTTTTCTACAGCCTGTTCACTCTGTATTAAAAAGGGTGAAATCATCTCACTAATTCTTCCTTTATCTCAGGGGATACCAGCACTGTGCAGCTGTTCGGCTCAGCTGCTCCTGGACTGTATGCTGAAGTACTGAACTGAAATCGAGAGGAAAGTTAGACACAGAGTTTTAACATGTATGAACCCTGCTCAAAGGAAGCATATCATATGTGTATTCCTTTTTACCTTTTGAGAGCAGTAAATTCACAATTTTCCATGACGCACAGGAAGTGGCCAACAGAAGCGGGGATCGACCTTCTATGTCAACACTATCAATATTAGCCCCCTGCAATAAAGAATTTCAAGTGTATCATGAATAATGAATAAATGAAATTTTAAAATGGTGCTGCCCTTTATAAGCATAGCAGAATTACAGGCATTCTGAGTAACTCCAGATAAGTAAATTCAATGAACACATTACATCTCTATATAAAACTGCTATGTTTTCAAACTATCAGCCACAGCCCAGTCATCTATACGTATATAAAAATTTAGATGTCTAAATAATAGTGGCCTACTTCTAGGTATACTGAACTCAAGATCTTTTGTTAGGGTACCTTTCCATGCATTTAAATACTCAAAATCTGGAATTCTAACCTGAAAATACTGGGATTGAAGCTCTGGAAAAATATAAAAATTGCAGCCCTTTTGAATGTGTGGTCTTACCTATCAAACCATTACCAGAACAAGACCCTTCTGAACCTCTTTGCTACATGAATACTGTTCAAGAAGTAATGCATCCAGAGATTAGTACAGTTCGATCTGTACAGCTTGATCTATCTTCATTTTCTGTTCTTCATCATAAGCTATATGAGCCAAGTTAATTTTGACTCCACAGTAGTTGTATCAACAGCGGACACATTTTTATTCTCCAAACTCAAGGTTTTTGATACTACCTTTTTCCTTAGGGGAAGCACAAGGACTCAAATGAGATATTCTGGCAAAAGCCCAGTTTTGCTGTTTTGTCTGTTTTTGCACAAGATGCATATTGCCAGGACAGTATGGTCACTATGGTCACAGTATCACTATGATCATATCAGCAAAACACTATGAGCATAAACATATCTATCTAAGAAATCCCGCCAGCAAGGGAGTATGAAGATACAAGTAAATGAACCAATGAGATGTATGTGTATTTTATGATGTTTTAGATCTAATTTTTCTAGATACTGAGTTGCAAGTCAAATTGGATGAGTTAAACAAAGTACACAAAAAAATCTATTTTATTTCAGATAATATCCAAAGATCGTTGAAAAAAAAATCAATGGGAGTTTTTCCATTAACTTGAATCATCTTTGGGTCCAGTCCTAATTCGAGAGAGAATTAATCATAATCATGAGCAATATTTACTTTCTAGGATGGTAAAATCTGTAATGTAGTAATAAGAAATATTTAATAAATGTACAATGATTACTTTACCACAGAGAACAGGAAGCTTCCAATGTAGGTTGATGAAATGTTTGAGAGTAACACATGCAGGACCCTTTCCCCAGTTACCTTTCTATAAGGTCAGACAATATCTTAAAAATGTTCTTATTCATCGAAGAAACAGACCTTTATTATCCAAGTGGCTCATTCATTTCAGTGAATACAGGGCAGCAATATCCAGTTAATAAGCAATCTTTAATCATCTTCCCTCCCACTAACATCATTGTTCAGCCTTCAGCAAAATTAATTCAGCAGCATTCATCATTATTTATCACAATAACGAGTAACATATAGTGCCACATATATTTACCACATTTACAATACAGCTGAATTAAGAGTTTGTAAATTTAGTTTCTGAACTCCTTTTACTTTTGCATTTATACATTAATATATATGAATTAAACAGACATTAATATAAAAATAAATATTATGCAAATTTTGTAAATATCAATTAGTATTTATACCAATTTAATCTTCCATTTTTCTTTTAGTGAAAACAAAAGAAGGAAAAGAGGAAAAAGGAAGTTCAAAAAAAGAAGCAAGAAAATGTGTAAAAATTACTGCTTATTTACTTTGAATAAGCAAGTTTCAATAAAATTAATGAAGTAAACTCAGGAAGCACCAGATACCTCAATGCTAAATTGTCCGGTACACAAGAAAAAAAAAAACACTAAAAGATGCAGGGAAATTGCTAAGATACTAGCTAAATCATGAGAACTTTCTGATTTTCATGTCTTTATTCTTCTTTACAGTTATGTACATAACTTGTAAATACAATCACGCCATTTGTATGCACAAAGCAGATACTGTGCACCTAATGTGACAATGGCCACTTTGACATTATTGTTAAAGTCATTGTGCTTAAAATGCTTGATTTGCAAACCAATGCTTTATAGCATTTCTTTAAAGCTATAAAGTTTTGTAATGTTTAGAAGTTGGGAATAGTGATCTAGCTTTCTGTCTTTTGCCTTTTTTTAAGGCTTCGGTTGGCCTTCAGTTATGGCAAACCATAGCTGTACATCTCACCAAAACAAGAGCACATACTCATTGCCATGTTATGTTGAGGCCAAATGCAAAATAATGAAAAGCTCTGCAAGAAATATCCGTGGAGTTTGATTCTCTGATTTTTGTGTGGCACATTGACCTACAACTTACAAAAAAATTGGTGTAATTTAAATGTAAATAGCATACATGGTGTGCCTGGACAATTCTGTTTAGCATAGCTAATCTTACCTTTTCTATCTAGAAGAGCTAGATGTAACACTGTATCTGTTTACAATGGCTTTTATTTTCAGACACAAAAAGTACCAAAAAGAAGATAAAGGAAGTAATCATTGTAAGTTAATGTGCATGAAATGTGGGTATTTAATCTATAAAATAAAGAAATTTTGTTCTTTATGAAAACTAGAAAGCCATTCTGAACTGGAATTTGCTACTCCTTTTGAGCAGTAACATTGCTCCACCTTTTCTTTTTCACCCTCGTGTACACCACAGCACAGGTGATACCTAGTGATCTTGCCAGGAGTCCAAGAGAGCAGGCAGCACAGGTTGTACATGCCGCATGCCACTAACCCCAACTGGCATATTTTGATCCACTCCCAGACAGGGCAAATGAAAACAGTCCTAAAACTTTATGGTTTATGAAAACTTTCCAAAACTTTGTTTGGAAAGCTAAACAAACCCTCAGCATAGATTCTACGAAAGAGGCCAAAATAGGCAAAATGATACTCAAGGAATAAAAGTTTGTTCTTAGCAAATGCAGTGTTAAAGATATTCCCTCTAATACTTTCTGCGCACAAGCCTCCACATGCAAAAACTTGTGCTTATATTTATCAGGTAATAACTTCTGTAGATAGGTTGTGTTGTCAGACAAGTTTAAGCAGTCAAACCTCACCGTTTCACATTTGAATTAAAAATAAGCACAACATCTAGTTCTGACTAAATCCAATCCCATGTTTCTGAGAAAAGCAAAACTGAATGTGGAAGAGAATTTTTCTTAATATAATTGTCATGAAATTAAGTAAAAAACCTAAACATACGTAAAATGGAAAAGAAGTCTGCTGACTTCTGAAAATTTCCTCATCAGAGTGGGGCATATAAATGGTTATATGAGCCTTAGTTTAGTTGGTATAAATGGACACTTGGAGCATAGCTAGTAGCATCCCCGGTTATGTTTCTTCTCTTTCTCCCTCAAATGACACAGAGGAAAAAATATTTCTAGATCAGAACAATCATATGTACATACTTCAAAGAAAGGATTTCTTTCTGGAAAAATCAGATTAAATTCAATGCATGTTTAGCATTTATTTCGTAGTTCATATCCTAAAAGTAAGGATGGCTGAACCAGTTTGTCATATCTGGTAAAAGATGTTTATGAAACCTTTCTGAGTAAGTAAAATGGAAATAAAAACGCAAGTTTTCATCCTCTGTAACTGTGGGATGCCATTATGCAGCCATAACTACCACTGTACTGTAACTGTCAATTACGCATTATGAAATCTCTCTATCTCTCTCTCTAAATAACCTATACCTGAGAACACATTCTCTTTTATGAATTTCTCTATGCAGACCTGTAGCAATAGATAGCAATAATCTCTATAAACATGTTGCTTGATTAAATATTTACCATTGAAATCAAATACTCTGCCAGTTCATAATGATCAAACAATGCTGTCCTGTGGGGAAAAATGCAAAAATACAGTAACATTAGAAAGGACAATGAAGTTTCAAGCCAAAGGGTAGCATTTTTCTCCATTTGCTGCATTTTCTAATATTTTCAAATAAATACATTTTAAAATAAAGAGACAGAGAAATACCTTTATTACATAATTCATTTTAATAAATTGTTTCCATTTTTGTCATGGAGTTTTGTTTTTAAACTAAGTTCAGTTCAATTAATACATTGAAGGAAACAAAGACCTCACTGATAGGTCAACAGGCATTTTCCCAATGATTTTTAACAGAACGAGTCATTTCATATGTCAGATCTTTCGCTCTAACACACAAAGTCAACATAGAATTCCATAAACTTCAGACTCAGTTTGTTCTAGGCAGACCTAGAGCCTCAAATCCATTTCATTGATCCAATCTTCAAAAATAACTTGCTACATATTTTGTGTAATAATGCTAGAGTGGGGTTAAAATGGCAGTGACATAGCTAAACATGTATTCTGACTGTGGCAGGCAAGTCTACTTGAAAAAATATGAAAAAATATAATATGCTGATATAAATCGGGATGACATTTATTAATTTACTAAAAATATTTTAAAGCTGTCTATACACATGAAAAATTCTCAGGTTTTATTCTACAATAAGACATTGAATTATATATTATAGGAAAAAAATGCTCAAAGCAGGAAGTATAGCACAGTTAATACACACACTCTAAATGTTTTCAGAAGTCAGACCCCTATTAAATATTTTGACTCAATGAGCAACACAGGACAGTTCCAAGGTTGTACTATATCTCAAAGATAACAGTTCTCTTAGTGTTACAAGAGGTAATAACACAGGGTGTACTATAGTTAGAACTGATTACTCGGAAGACGTATTTTAAAAATCATGTCATGGTTCCAGATAAATACAGATGCCTCCATTATCTATAGCAGACCTCTCCAGCTATCCATAAATACTGATTGCTTCACACACACTCAAAATAAATTCCAAGGTGCCTGAAGAGAGAGTGAAGTAATTTTATAAAACACTTAGATGGAAACATGACAGTAGGAATGTGAATGGATCAAGTCCTGCCTATGCTTCACTGCTCCTTCACTTCTCAACAAGTTAACATTCCTATTCAGTTTATTTATATTTTGAGAGATTTGGGTGATTTTCTACCTTTCTGATGATTCCTGATAATATTTTTTTTCTTGTTTCACAGACACAGGGAGTGAAATAATACACAAAGCAAGTGATGCACAGTACAATTGCTCACCACCCACCGATCGATGCCCAGCCAGTCCCCGAGCAGCATCCCCCCAGGCCAGCTTTCCCCCAGTTTATGTACTGAGCATGACGTCACATGATATGGAATGTTTCTTTGGCCAGTTTGGCTGTGCCCCCTCCCAGCTTCTTGTGCACCTCCAGCCTTCTCAGTCGGTAGAGCATGGGAAACAAAAAAGTCCTTGGCTGGTGTAAGTATTAGTTAGTAACAACTAAAACATTGCTGCGCATTCATTTTCATTCTCATCCTAAATCCAAAACACAGCATTGTACCAGCTACTAGGAAGGAAATTAACTCTATCCCTGCCGAAACCAGGACAATATCCACCCCTTATTCTATACCATCTACGTCATGCTCAAGTCTCATATTTTCCAGTACATTTTCATTAATCACCACCCCCTCTTTTATATATATATATATACACACACACACACACACACACACACACACACAGAGATATCATTCCCTTAGTCTGTGGGCCATCCCTCTAAAACGTTCAGTGAGTTCATTTAGTCCATTATTTCGGGCTCCATCTGTTGTAATAATCTTCCAGGGCAGGAAAAATGGAGATGGTATGCAGTGTTTCATGTTGAAGTCAGTTCTGGTACCATCATCACTGTGCTTTGCTTGGTTTCA